CTTGCTATGAATCAGTTTAATTTTTATTTAGGTATGTGGCTAGCACCAATCTTAAAAAACTAGTAAACTAATTTACTCGTTTCACTAACACAAATATCCACTGTTTTTGAAAAAAGGGAAAAAAATATTTGGCTCTTTTTCTACTGTGTATTTGTAACTATTTTGACTAGAAAATGTTTAGTTTATTAAAATTTATTTGACTTAAATGTTTAGTAATTTTAGCGAAAATTACTCCGTTTTAAGTTAATGCAAAAGTTTACACGCTTTTGCAAGATACATTACAAATGTTTTATTTTGTGAAACATTACATTTTAACCAAATATTTTTGTGTCTTCTTTAATGTTATGATGTTATTTTGTCAATTCATCTCATAAGGGTTTGTTATAGCGATTTCTAATAAACGTATGGTATAGAAACACTGCAAAAAAGTCGAGTTTCTATGCAAATTTTCAAAAAAGAAACAAATAACGACAAATTATCTGCTTTATTGACAAATCCAATTGATTAAATATTTTTTATATAAAATTGAATGTTGCTTCGATTAAAATTTCGAAAAAAACAATTATTTCACACATGCCAAGTTAAATGACTGAGTGATGACTAAGTGATCCTCTTTATTATCACTGATTCTTTACAAAAATGTCGTGTTTCTATACCAAAACTTTTTACGTGAAATGTTTTCAGGTTAAGTTTTTTCTATTTTTGATTTTAATATGTTCTTCGTAAATGAAATAAACGAACTTTATCGTTTCATTGTAATTATTGTTATGCGATGTTGATTAAATTTAGGCTTCGTCATCATCTGTATAGAAATCATACTCGCAAGTAATGTTTCTATACAAAAAAAAATCTTGTTTACTCGGTTTATGAAGATATTTATCATATTGCAGTAATAGTTTTACTCTTTATGTTGATTTTTTTTTCTATTGCAAAATAAAAAGATATTTTTTATTAATTTATAAAATCTTTCGCCTATTTCACTGTAAATTGATTCAACAGCATTATAATTTAGTTTACAACTATGTGGGCACGGACGTAAAAAAGACTCACTTGTATAGAAGGTAGTACCTTCTAACACATACGCATGCACACAGATTTTTCCTGAGTTTTAAAATCAACTGGTTTTGTTTATACACAAACAATTTTAAGTATAAAAAAGTATAAAACTGATATAGACAAAAAATATTAAATACAGTATTGAAAACAAATAATTATTTTATATGTGATATAACAAAAAAACATAAAAGGTGTAAAATCCATTGGTTTCACATAAACTTTCAGTTAAATCTATGACCTAATTGAAGGATTGTAATTATAGCTGAAGTAAAAGGGTTAAAGTCAGGTCAGATTATCCTGCTACTGATAACATGTAACCCAGTACAACCTGATTTATATCATGCTGCCGTGTAGGATACGCTTTTTTAAGCAAAGACTAGGAGAAACCAACAAAAAGGGTAGAGACAGTGTCTCGATAAAAATACTCATCTTGGGCAGATGTTGAACGCATCAGGCTACTGTCTTGTAGAATGCCTCCTAGACAAAGACTTAAGAGGTAAACAGGTTCTATCTGTTGCCTCGCATTCCTTCTTCATCTATTAGGCTGACGCAGATATATTTATAATAATTGTTTCCAGTTTAGGATGTAAAGTACTGGATCTTTATGACTCAATTGAGTTATAACAGAAACACAAACAAAATCTATGCATTAATGCATAGATTTTATTTGTGTTTCTGTTTTTATGACAACTCGTTCTACTATCTCTTATTACAGCTCTAAAACTCAGTTTTACGGTACTGAAGCCAGCTGGTAGTCAGGTTTCTCAAACTCAGTGGTAGCTCTCAGAATGGTTGATTTCATCTACAGCTGTAAAATATCATGATACTTTACAGCTGTTGATGAAATAATACTCGGATATCAGAGTATTAACAAAGCCATGTTACGCATGGATGGTGTCCTGTTTGCACTTTTGGTGTGCATTGTCGAGGCCACATTTAGAGCTTATTGTTATGGCAAAGGGCTTTTAACAGTAATAAGACAGTTTCTTAGATAATTAAATAGTATACTGAGTACTATCTATGCTTTAAGTCAAGTTCTTTAACAAATTAAAAAAATTTTTTAGTTTATATTTTGCTGTTAAAATAAATGAGGGGAAAGGTGCCTATGATGGCGTACTTAACTTTGAAGGTTCATTATTTAGTATCCTGAAGACAAATAATAAATGTTTTGATATGTATACATTCCTTGTTATAAGTAAAACAACAATAACCCTCGGATTGTTTATCAGTTTTATTTTTTATGTTAAGTTATTCCTATTTAAAAAAAAAGCATAAGTATGCCATCATAGGCAACTGCTTCTCCTATGATGGCATAAAGGAGGATAGGCTGGTTAGGATCAAGGGTAACTTGATGATTTCATTCAACCTGAGAGTCTTTGCTCGGAAATGCCAGAAATTACTCGGAACTATCCTTATTTACCATTTCATGCTACACAGCAGCATTGTAAAGTTTTGCGCATGCTCATAGGATATATTGCGTTTTATGCATTTTTTAAACCAAAAAAATAATTTTGGATCATTGCTTTCTCTTTATTTTACTTAAAAATAAGTTTATATTATAAAAAAAAAAGGTTTGCCAAAATCGCCAATATTGCAACACACTCAACTCGTCAGTATGCCATCATAGAAAGAAGTCATCTTTTTCATTAAAACAAGCTGTGTCTGCCTTATTCAAAAAATAAAATTAATTTAAGTGTTTCACTAAATGCACAAACCTTGGATATAAAATGCATGAAAATTCCCTTTCTGCATATTCAATAATAAAATCACAATCCTAAATATATGAAGGGAATAAAACTATAACAGCACATCCCCAAATTGATTTTTGATGATTATAAAATCAATATTTGTGCACAAGGGACGTATTTTCACTAAAACTAATTTTAAGTAAGTTTATTCATGTAGATCTAATCACTTTTTCACAAAAACCAATTTTTATGGAAATATGACCGGTATGCCATCATAGGCGCTATGCCATCATAGGCGCCTTTCCCCTACAGATGAGTTTTACATGGTAAATATCAGTAAATAAAATATTTTAAAAACAGACCGGGACTCAAAAAAGATAATTATGATGCAACATCATCTCAATATTTTCATAGAGCCCATTAATATAATAAAATTTTGTCAGATAGAGTTGTAAATATAAAAGTAATAAAATAAAATAAATGTAAAATAAACTAAAGATATAGTCAGAAAACAAATTATTTTTACAACTAAAATGATATTTTGCAATAACTATATTTTAAAGCTAGGTATTCAAAAATAAGAAATACATACAAATGGGTCAGGGTAACAACATCCGCTTTTGCTATGTTATTGCTTTTGCAACAAAATCTGAACAACACCCCAAATTTCATTGATGTATAGTAAAATCTGTTTAACAACATCCAAAATTTCATTGATTTATTATAACATCCGTGCAACTACATCTATAGATTTCTCGGATGTAACTATATCCGAAAAATAATATTTTTTAATAATCCATTATTTTACCCAGATGAAGTTACACATCTAATTTTTTTCAGATGTACCTACATCCGTCAAAAAAAATTATTATAATGCATTTTTTTAAGAATAATAAATTTTGTTTTTAATTTAATTTTTTGATAGACTGCCTGCCCAAACCAAACCCTCAGTCGATATAGCAACACCCCGTTTCGAGTCGGGCTATTTGTCAATGATGCAGCAGCACTTATAAAATATAATAATTCTATATGTAACTTATATATGTAACTACATCCTGAACTTTTTTTTTTAATAATACATTATTTTAATCAGATGTAATTACACAGCTGATTTTTTTTGGATATAACTACTGCCGGGAAAAAATAAATTCAAAAATACATTGTTTTTCATATGGGAAAGCCAAGATAAATTATTGTCAACAAGTATTCCTAAAAACTTTATATAGTCTTTCTTTTTTTAAATAGTGCTGGTAATTTAAGGGAAAGATTTTCCTCTTGAAAATTTAATTTAGGAACCACCAGAACCAACGTGTCCAATTTCTCGGCATGCTATCTCAGCAGCAAAGACAGGACGATATATATTTTTGCCCAGGGATTTGTCTTGCTTGATGACGACAACTTGTGACGTTGTATAGTATAAAATGATGATATTGCATGTTAAAACATGCAAGAAAAGCATTATTGAATATTGAACAAAAACAAATGTAAACCTAAGAAGTTGTTCTTAAATAAGCCATTAATAAAAGTTATAAGCCATATGAAGACAGCATTAGTATACAAAATTTAGATTATTTTGGTAAAAAAATGCTAATAACAGAGCTGTTAAAAGTGTTTTTGGCAACTTTTAATTTTAGTAATAATTTATAAACGTAATATCCTTATATTGGCTAATGCTTTGCGCCTGAAATTTTTAGTGTATCCTCAGTATGCTTCAGAAATTTGGTTAACAATTTGGAGTTTAAATATATCTGTTAAATTTTTAATTAGGAAATTAGTTTACTTGTCAAATCACCTAGCAGTTCAAGCAAATTTTCTTTAATACTTGATTAAGTTTAAAATAAGCCCTTAAACTAAAAAACCATTTTTGCCACTAGTTCTGACAGGAAAATATTTTAGCAAATTCAATTTTAAACGGCATTATAGATGTAAAAACTATATTGATTTAAAAAAAATCTATATTTCGATTATTATATAAAATAGTACTTCAACAGAAATATACAATGTTTTTATTTTGTTTATATTTTTTATTATAAAGTGCATTTTTGTAAGTACTACCTTGAATCAACTGATGATTTTCTAAACTTTATCTAAACTAAAAAAACTAAATCTCTTTCAAAAGTCATCCATTTATTAAAAACTAAACTAAAATAAAAACAGTAATAAATTATTTAGAATAAATTAAAAATATCAAACTTTAAAATAAAAGTAAAATTTTCAAAATAAGACATAGAAGGTTCTATATAATATACAACTCACATAATCATTATATATATTCATGAAGTTGTCAACGCTTGATCATTGGAACAAAAATCATGTTTGTGTTGATTATGGTTTGATATTTTAATAATCATGGAAGATTTTATTTAAGTTGTATAATTTCGCAATAGCAATATTTGGTTGCATACATTAGATCAACGTTGGGTTTAGTTTGTAAAAACAATCAAATTTTTGCGATGTATTTACATACATTGAATCAATGTTGATTTATGTACATTGAATCAACGTCGAAATTTTTACATTGGATCAACGTTGGGTTTAGATCGTAAAAATAATCAACTTTTTGCAATGTTTTTACATACATTGGAAAAACGTTGATTTATATACATTGAATCAACGTCGAAATATATACATTGGATCAACATTAGGTTTAAATCGTAAAAACAACTAACTTTTTGCGATGTTTTTACATACATTGGACCAATGTAAATTTGCCAAATATTTTTAGTTCCGTCGGTAATAATTTTATCATTAACCAAATGACATTGAATCAGCGTTGGTATTGCAACGGAAAAAAGAGCCGACGTTCGCGATGGTTTTACATACGTTGGCCCAATGTAAGTGTGCTAGCTGGGTATTTTTGATGTTATATTGCAAGATTAATTCTCCACTATGTCTCAAAACAACCAGAAATTAAGTAACTTTTAAGCTACCACACTACCATACTTTATTGACTACATACAAATAGCATTTCAAAATCAATACACAAGTATACATTACTTATTATAGACTAAGTGATCAGGCTTTTAGATTATTAAGTTCCTACATCAGAAGTGGATTGTTTTTCAACGCAACAAAAATGTCAATTTTACTGCCAGTAAATAGTCGTTAATTATAAATATAGTAAAAATTTACTGTACCTAAAGCTTGGTTTCCAATAGTTGTAGAAATGTTGAGCAACAGTTGCGCATTTTTGTTGTACAACAATTGTTGCCGAAATAGGTTTAATTTTATCTCTGCAACCTTTGTTTTACAACATAAATTTTGTTGTGCAACCGAAGTTAAGTTGTGCGAATTACGCAAGAAAATTTTTCCATTATAAAGCATTATTGTTGTACGACTGCTGTACGACATTTCTACAACTATTGGAAACCAAGCTTAAGGATGCGTTTTTTGATAGGTACAGTAAAAATATTTTTAAAAATTTACTTTCCTTTTCCAAAATGCGCATGTTTAAAAACAACGAGTATATTTTCGAAGAGAGTTCTTGAATAAAATTTAGTAGTTAGAAGATTTTCAATAAGATTCTTAAAGATTAAAAAATGGAGGACATTTTCATGAAGAATTTTAGAGATTTTGATGAAGCAGAAAAATTAGGTACGTGGAAATATCTGTTTCACGGAACCGAATATTGTGCTAAAAAATTGTGCCACGCTTATTAGATTTTTTTTTAGCTAGCGTAGGGAAGACGCGTTTAGTTGAAAAACTTTTAAGAATTTGATATCAATATAGATTATTTTTAGAAACTAGAATAGTTAAACTTTATTACTGTGAGGTTTATTATTTTACTAGATGGCTTTTTTATTGAGTTTTTTGAATTCTAAAACTTTGTTGTACTTTGGGCATGAAATTGATGTCGAAGATATGCTCATTTTTTTTTCTATACTATTCTTTTTTTTAAGTTTTTCATTTATCTATGCACCTGAAAAATTTCATTGAAAAAAAGGTTGTAGCAGGGTGTCTATTTTTTGTCGCACTTTTGGTACCTAATTTTCATTTTGCTGAGGTGGTTGCGGGAGACAGAGGGGTTAAATAAACATTGTTTATATTTGATTTTGATAAAATAAAATTTTCAGTATTTTTTTTTAGATTAAAAAAAATGGAAAGTAGAGATATTGATAAAAGTTTTTAATATTGTTTCTTATTTATTAAAATTTTAAAAAAATTATTTGCCTTCAATGTAAAGTTATTAAATGAATTTTAATGTTTCCTTACTTTAAAGTTTTTTAAAAATGTAACTGACATATTAGTAATATTATAACATATTTTATCTTACATTGTAAGTCTCTCCAATAACAATTGCAATATGCTACTACTTGTTGTAACATGCATCTTTTTCTAAAAAAGTCTAGGTAAAAACTAGACTTTTTTTTTTAATGATTAACTGTTAATCTTTCAACTGTAATAAATAATATAAATAAAATATGGTCATATATAACTAATATATATTAGCAACCTTATTCAACTTTTATGTATAATAAATCTTTATTATACTATGTTTTTTGTGCAGATTTTTGTGCATCCACAAAGTAATTTTACAGTTGTTTATTTATATATTCCTGATTGTTTCATGCTTTTTATTGAATCATTGTTATTTTTTTTCTATAGACAATTTAGAACAAACTATTAGTAAGTAAAGTTTGAAATATTTTGTTATATGTTAGTGTTATAATATGTTAGTGTTATAATTTAATTTTATAATAAAGTAAGTAATTTAAAGTTGGCTTTTAGGTGAATTTAGACAGCAGATTTGTAATTTTAGTAAATTTTAACAATTTCAATGGTATAGTTTAATGATACATGCTAACTAAAGATTATAACTTAATTGATACACAAGCTAAATGTGTTTAATTTATTGATGCACACTAACTAAAGATGTTGTAACAAAAATTGTTACTTGAAATTAAGTTTATTTTAGTAAACATATTACTATTGTTATTACTTATTTCTTTTTAATTCTTTAGCAACACTTACTTCATTGATTGGTAAGAGATTAATGTTTATCTTTATGTGTATGTATTAAGAAATATAGTCTGATTTTGGGTATTACTCAGTATTGTACTATTTAATATGTACTATGTTATTGTATATTTAATATGTACTAAATATGTATATTTAATATGTAATATTTACATGTACCATTTATTCTTTTGTGTCATTGTATTATTTAATCTTTAATATCCCTGTCATCTGTTGCAGCTGGTAAGGTTTCTATATTATTAATTTGAGAGATAAAGTTGTTATATGCTCTGTTAATATAGCGCGTATAAATAGAGTTAGCAATCGATTGCATCAGGCTAAAATTAGAGCCAATATTTCCCAAAGACAAGCATCCAAGCGCCAAAAAATCGATGAAAAAGAAAAAAGTTAGAGCAAAAAAAGTTAGAGCGTTAGCTATCCAAACTAACTTATGATGAAACTATAGATTCATACAAAAATTTGTCTAATGACCAACTTTATAATTTAGAAGATATCATGTATAGAAGAACTGTAGGCAAAAAACTATACCATGAATGATATGATCCTAAAAATCCAAGCCTATTTTGTATAATGGCAGAGTAGAAAAAGTATTTAGTTCAAAAAATGACTTAGTTTACACTATTTCTTACTGGAAAGATGATGAAACGTATATGAAAGCTGTTGACCATTGCATGAAAAAGATCCAGCTTGTTGTAGATGTTGTTTCAGAAGAGTATTAATTTTATATTATAATAATAAATTTTATTAATTTTATATTATAATAATAAAACACTGTGAAAGTACAAGTTTGAAATTTAAGCTAAAAAAGTACTACAAGTGAATTGCTGAAAAATACTACCAGTGTTGTGACTAGTTAAAAGAAATTTATTATTGTAATCATTCACTAAAAACCAAGACAAAACTATATGAGATAAATAATAAACAAACCATTATTATTTCTTTTTAATAACATTTTATTTGTTTTTTAGTTTGAAACAGCCAAAACGCTATTTAAAAGATTTAAAATTTATTAAAGGTTGGTTAATAAAATGGATATCAAAGCTGTAGAACATTGCATGAAAAAGTTTCAGCTTGTTGCAGATATTTTTTCCAGAGAGTTAACTAGATATTATTTTGTTAAAACACTGCAAATATATAAATTTAAAATTTAAAGATTAAAAAACTGCAAGTGCTGTGACTTGTTGAAAAAAAAAAAGTACTGCTAGTGTTGTGACTTGCTAAAAAAAAGTAGTGCAAGTGTTGTGACTTGGTCAAAAAAAGTACTGCAAGTGTTGTGATTTGCTAAACAAAAGTACTTCAAGTGTTGTGACTTGCTAAAAAAAAGTACTTTATGTGCTGTGACTTGCTAAAAATAGTACTGCAAGTGTTGTGACTTGCTAAACAAAAGTACTGCAAGTGTTGCAACTTGCTATGTATTTTTGATAGACGGCTCTGGCTTACCTTCACGTAGTGTCTATTGTTAAAAATGATTATAAAATAATTTGATTAGTATAATTTATCATTGTAATCATTCACTAAAAGCCAAGACAAAACTTTATAAAATAAAGCATCATTAAAATAATCAAACATTGTTTAGTGTTAATAACATTTTTTTTGTTTTTTAGTTTGAAACAGCCTAACTTTTCGTTAACCAAACTATATGAAAGATTTGAAGATTTATAAAGGTTGGTAAATACCTTGTTTTGGTTACCTTTTTACCACTATTAACTGATAATAGAAGTCACTCTTTATGAGAATAATTAACCAAAAATTCTCCAATTAATCAAAAATGCTTTTTTAAAAAAAAAATGTTTAGTCGGGGAAAAACGGGGGGGGGGGCATAGTTCCTCTCTTTTGACAATGGATGCAACACTGATGTAACTTTTACCGGGTAAGATATATTTTTACTTCTTTGTTGTTGTTCTTTAAATAACCAATCAAATAGTTCATAATTAACCTTTTTTTGCGATATTAGGGTGTGTTAAAACATGGTCAACACATTTAACATGAGTTTTACACTTACCTTCAATGTTTGGTGGTTGTCCAGTATTAATTTATAGAACCTTTTTTATACAGAAAAAAACTTTGTTTTGGGACTTTAGGAAACAGTAGTTGTGTCAATTTGATTTTATTTTTAAGTTGAGAGGGGGGGGGGGGGGTTATTCGCATCTCCCATACATTGATGTAATCACGACTTTTTTTTTTTTTTTTTTTTTTTGTTCTTTATTACAATATTTATGATACAGATACAAATAATATAAAAAATAAAAAAGGTAACAAGTCAAGATATCGTTAAGAATAATATAATAATATAAAGAATATTAATAAATATAAAGAACGCGGATACTCAAAGAAGACCATCAGGTCTTGTCACAGAGAAACCGCTTTTGAACGTTTTTATTTTATTTTTTTTTTTTTTATTATTATTATTATTTTTT